GTCCTACTCCTCTGAAGGCCAAGCAGAAACAACAAATAATTAATAAAGATAAAAATATAAAAACAATTAGAATATATTTCAGTGTTTGTCTTTTGCTCAAAAGTGATTGCAGATGTGACAAAACAGTTATAATGTGGAGTCCTTTGAGGTTTGTGACAGCAGCAGTTTAGTGTTAAAGTTATTTAGTGTTCAGGTAAAAAGTTGAATGTCTGACTGCAGACTGCAGGATGTATGATGTTGGGACACCTAGAGGGGATGAAGACAACATTCATCAACCCTGATGGAAACATTAGGAAGAAAGATTTTGCAATTTTTTGACAAGCCTACTGTAGAAACACAGTGCTTGAAGCAAACAATGTTTAATGCACAGAAATATTGTTAGTCCTCAGAGACTTAGGTATTTGAGGGTTAAGTTATTCTGAGTTTCGTGTCCCAATTTATGAAGATATTGCTTACATGCAAAAGGCCCACTGGGCATAAACGAGGCCTCAATTTCAGGCTCCTGTGCTTTAAATAAGTGTAGCTATTTGCAGTATAGTTAATGTACTGTATGCATGCATGCTGCAGCAAATGGCATTGAGAACCCTAGTGAGGGATGATTCAACAAACAAGAAAAGACAGAAAAACAATCAGCTTTATGATTAATTTAAATCAAAGAAAGCAGCTACTGCAATCGGAGATTAAAGGAAAGGACTGCAGCTGGCTGTCTTGGCAGTTTGACAGCTATAATACTCTCAAAGTCAAAGAAGTTTTAGTAAAAGCCCAAAGTGCAAATGTGTCTGAAACTAATCCCATTTCTCTGACTGCTTTTGTACAGAAACCACAGTCTGGCAGAACAATTTGTCTCCTATCCTGAGTAGTGGAAAGAATTAATACTGCATCTAATGGGGGATTTCCACAATATGAGCTTTTCTAAGTGACCTGGGTACCTTGTCAGGAGATCAGATGCTTCACCTGCAGCTTCAGCAGGGGATTTACAGCCTATTTTAAGTTCCCAGTTATTTCATAAGGCCCCCCTCTGCAGTACCTTCTGCTGCCTCCAGCAACTACTGCAGCAGTGCTGGCTAGGTCCAACAATGTCAGGACGGCACTACATCCTCCACAGCACCGGGTGACTCAAATATCAATAAACTGTGAGCCACATAATTCTTACAGGTATATATAGCATGTCAGATTGGGCTAAAATTAGATATACTGTAAATAACATTAATAAAAATGGCATGATTGAACACGCTAAAAGCTGTGGCTGATAGTGTAACAGTGGTTAATCTAAAGCAATCAATTCCTGGCTTTGTCAGTTGAATCAGAGTTTATAAGATGAAGTGGCAATGCAATGAAACGGCCCCAGTTTGGTTTTACAYAGCAAACAGGCAAGAGACAACAGCAAAGCACATTTGTCTTTTACCTTATTGAAGTTGGCCCCACGTTTTTCAAATCTAACAAAACTGGCAATGGCAGGCACAGCTAATCAAAATATTAGCTTGACTAACACCTACAGCTACACAAGCCTATTAGTTCCGCTACAACTCTTKCACATGGGTATTGACTTTAAAATGATAGTGGCACAAGCAATTTATTTTTGCTGTACAAACCAGAACAATTTCACTTAGGTCTGTCCTGAGCTACCTGTGCTTGGTTCAAAATTCAGTGTGCAGGCAGTGGCGTGGTAGAGAAGACCAGAGTCGTATTTCCTTGTCATCGATGCCAAATTGAGTGTTTAAAACTGTGTTTTGGACATTGGCTGGCATTGTATTAACACTCACTGAAAACTAAAGGGACAATTTTTTCATATTCTTTCTTTTCCTTGAGGTCGCCTCACCTCATGAGGTTTGTGTGACAAAAACAAACAAACATTGGAATATTTCCAGTCAAACTTTGTTTCTTCTCTAAAAAGTGTGCTTTGTTTCTGCCTCATTTGAATAAATAGGAAAAAAAATACAAGTGACCAAAATAATTGCTTTTGCTTTTTCTTTTAAATAATGGCTTTAAAATTCACTTTGTCCTTTAACCATCATCCAGCTTGAATACAACTCAACACCATTTGCATTTTTAACTTTTATTTTTTGCAAATGACTATTTAGAAAAAACAACACTGCCACGTTTCAWTTAAAAACTTGGTTGCTACGTCTCTGCATGTGTTACTGCAGCTCTCCCCCCACCCCTATCTGTTCTGACAAAAACCTTTATGGTAATTGGTCTCAAAGCCAAAATGTTCCCACAAAAAGCTTTAACAATAGAAACCAAACAAAGTTTTGGTTTGATCAGAATCGTTTTAACCTTTGGTTTTTAACTGGAATTATAATATCTTTCTCACAATAGTTATGCATCATGAGYTAATGGTCATCAAATCAATAGTTAYCAGAGTTTATGAAGTATAACATCCTGGACCCATTGCTATCTATAGGCTACTGCATGTAAGTTGTTTTTGAGGAACAGCAGGTGAAGAACTCCAACTGAAATAGTGGATCGAAGCCATTTGAACAACATTCTGCTTTGACTGAGCTGGAAGGATAAACCCTGAATTGTCCCTGTGGTCCTCGGAGTGCAGCTTGCTTTTAATTGAGAACAATGGAGCAGGAGAAGAGCAATCACATCATTAAGCACTTATCAATAATATGGCCAACTTTTGCTGAGGCTCATAAAAAAACAGCTGGTGCAGGAAGCCCAGAACCTCAGGCTCTGAGATTCTCAGCTCACATCAGGGTKTGATTAAAGACACAATTTTCAACAGCTATTCTTGGTGAAATGGAAACTTATTACAAAGCAGATGCCCGTTCAAAATGTCAGTCTTCATGCAGTCGTGATTTTAAAATGAAACCAGTGTCTGTGGCTGGCTGTATTGCTTTGAAATGCATTTAAGAGACTGCTTGGACCTAAAGGAACTCTTATTATCCTCAGAAAGTGTGGAAAGGGCAGAACCACACAGCACGCCTACAAAGAAGAGAAGGTATTTGTACGCTAAACTAAAACATAAAATAACTCTTTTAATGACAGTATTGCATAAATTTTGGACAAGAAGATGAATGGTTTGTGAGGAGTAAAAGAGGCCATCTATGTCAAACAGACAACAGACACAMCTTTTTTCAGTTTTGAATTCAATTTCCAAGGAGTTATAAGCATGTGACCAAATCATCGTGTATGCGGACCAATATAAAAAAAATCTTAATGACCTTCAGGAATGATGGAAGAAAGGGTGAGTTCTGAAGCTCACTAAGATTTACAGCTTTACACAGGTTACACACTTGACAAAAGTCCTCAAATAAGAAGCAAAACATAAAGACGACAAAAAGAAGTTAATTGAACTTAGTATGATTTTCATGTCTTGGATGACAAACAAGCTTTAATTGGGCAACACCATTCATATTGGACCCATTTAAATTTGGTGTCAATCCCACTATCCCACATTTGAGAAGACACTGAATAGAAATAATAAAAGTAAATCAAACTTACACTTCCTCTTTCATCATGGGCGGCCATGCTTGTAGAAGAAGAATCAGTAACTGAAAGTCCTCCCACTTCTGTGCCACGGCTAACATTGTCTGGAAAAGACCATATCTTTTGTCCTCATCCTCCACATCCTCGACTTGGACCTGGTAAGGAGAAAGCTGAGGGTTAGGAGGGCAAATCAGTCAGAGAGCAAAAAAGCAAGAAGTTGTTCTGAGGATTCTGAAATTCAGCTTTACACTTTGTTCAGCGTGAAATGTAAATTGAATGAAACAAAAGAGTTCAGAGGAACCGTCTCAGTTAAACACAATAAACAGAATTTGCATTTCAYGCAACAATGCAGTGTGAATGCTTAATGCTGAAAATTTTCTGCTAAATAGTTAAAAAAGCTAAAACTAGCCTAAAAATATCYTGACGCATCTCAGTAATCCAGGTAAAAAATCAAAAAGAAAAAAATTGTGTAGGTCTTCTGGACGGGTTCTTCTCTAAYGAAACGTTTCGTCTCTCCTCCAAGAGACTTCTTCAGTCTGAGAGTTTCAGGCAAAATTCAGGCTTTTAAGCMCTGCCTCCATGTGACTGATACTCACATCACATGGCTATCGTTGACACCTAATTAACACTTATTGTTAACAGGGGGTGGAGTGATACTGGCAATARCAGCRCTGTAGGAGGGGGACAACTGAAAACGGAGGCCTCCACCTCTGTTTAATGATGGACGGTCTTTCTTAAAAAAATGGCTTCTTTTACTCCTCTCTCAAACCAACTTAGGAGCAACTCTTATTTAGGCAACTCTTTGAAAGGCCTCAGCCTAAAAATAGCTCCAAAAGTAGCTGAAATTAGTACAATGAAACAGCAAAGCATATGTTTTGTGAATTAAACAAAAATGTGCTGAAATTATTACAGAAGGGTGAGTTAAGCTGAAAAAAATCTTAATTAAGCCAAAAGTAGATAAAACACAGAAATAAGCACAAAAAGTTTAAATTAGCAGGAGAATAGCAGAAAAGTCTAAATGATGGCTACAAAAAGCTAAAATCAGCAACAAAKAAGTCAAAGGAAACAGAAATTAGTAAAAGGCAGTTAAAAACAGCAGACCAAGAATAAAAGGTAAAAAAGTACAGTAAAGACTGTTTTAAGGATGTTGAAGACAGCTCCTTTCATTTTCAGTAAGAAAAACATGGCCAAAAAAACTAAATCTTTTAATAAAAATATAAATGATTTAAGTACCAAAAGTCATAGCTTGGGCATCTTCAAGGAAGTGAACGTTCCGATATATAAATTGCACAAATAGCATCAAGTTTGTAGAATGAGATACATGCCGAAAAACTTACGGAAAATAAATTTCAGTAGTGTGAAAGCCTGTGAACAAGCATTCAATGATAGTGATTGTTAATGTGTTAATGCTTTAGAAGCACTCACACAATAACCATCAGAAGCAGCATCCACCAGACAGTTTCTCAGTGAAGTATTATGAAGACTGTAAAAAAATAATTAATTAAGACAACTAAATATAGATCACTATCAATCCTCCAAAGCTTTAAGTAAGAGGCTGAATAAAAAGGAACACCATCTGGTGTCTAATGGCACAGATCACAGCTGTTAAAACTCACCTGTGAGACAATTTAATCTACTCTACTAAGCTGAAGAAAGAACAAGAATGGCAGTGAATGAAGTGGATAAAGGGGAAAAACTGAGGGTTAATGTGAAAAAAAGRGAGGAGACATGGAGGTGGCGAAGGCAAAGGAAAGTAATTAATGTTCCTTTCTAAGGTTGGCTTCAAGTGTGATTTAACAGTTCAGAGAGCGGCTGATTTCTGATGGGACTACGACCAGGCAAAGCATGGCTGCTCCAGAGATGGGCTTGATTTCAAACAGGCATTTATTCACAGACTGTTTTCAGGTTTTAAAGATTTTTGATCTTTTAAAATGACAGATATCAATGTTATTATTGGCCTCACTTAGACAACTTGTTAATTCTATTAAACTGTCCAAACTGAGGCCTTTCAAAGAGTTGCCTAAATAAGAGTTGTTCCTAACCTTTTCACAGAACGCTGATTCCTAAGATTTAAACTTTAGGCTCATGAGAGCTGCCGTTTTGTTTACTCTTATGTGATCCTTCTCGGATATTACTGGTACCTTTGAGCGTAAAAGTACACTAAACTAAACTGGCAGCACAATAGGACCATACCTCTTGTTGTAGACAACTGCCTTATGATAGAGGGTGAAGAAATAAACGAGTACAGCTTAAGCTCAAGACCCTCTGAAAATAGAGGTCATTTGGGAAACTGAAATAGAATCTTAACTACCTGTAAAAAGCCCCGAACGTGATCTAAAGTCCTCAGATCCATCACCACATGTCAGCTGCAACCCAGAGCCTGTTCATCATTGTTACTGCCTCCCTGCCTTATAAAGACTGAACATCAAACTCCTGGAGCATTTTATAAGTTTTAAAGCCACTTTAATTCATTTTCTTTAAAAAATGTAGGGGCATATGAGACATTTGCATTAACTAATTACAATTTATCTTGGGGGTGGGGAACTATTCAATTAGAAATAAATATGTCATGCCAAAAAACAGATACCATATCAGTCTTCTTGCCTAGGCATGCACATCAAAACTCCCCTAAAAATTACTGTAATTTAAATCAGGTCCAATTACTATGTGGATGCTAGGCTTTTATTTGTGTAACAAGAAAAGGAAATAATGTTACTTAGTGATTAAAATCATATTTTGTCCGCATTGTACAAAACACATGGTGCAGGARGAGGAAAAAAGCAGAACGAGGGATGGAGATTGTAGATTAATAGCTAATATTAAATGGCATAAAGGTGAAAAAAAATTGACCATTTCACTGTTTTTGTTCTGTTTAATCATTTAGCTTAGATGAACTTCTGCRATGGTTTTGAATTGTTTTGTGAATTAATTGAAAAGAGCAACATATCTTCTTTCTATTCAGATCTTTCATATTGTTATATTAGCACTGGCCATAAGACTGACTTGACAAGCTCACGCTAACCTGTAAAAGGACATTTATTTTATTTTTTTTCAACTCCTTGTTGAAATGTAAACATTTGAGCATAAGAAAATAAGGCTTCTGTAAAGACCTTTTTTTAAGAATTAGATTTTTCTGCTCTGATGGACCAACTGCATGGCTGGTGACTAGTAATGGATGATTTCCAGGTTGATTGACTTGACCAATGTCCAACTACTCTTGGGTTGTCTTTTATTTAGAAACAGAAAAACCTATTTTAAACTCTACAGTTCCAACTCTTAGGGAGGAATTTAAATCAGACAAAATTCAAATTGATATGTCAGTTTTTTACAAAAAATCAATCACCCAAGATAACTGAGGATCTTCCATCCCAACAAATGAACCCAAGACCTATAGCCTAAAAAAGATCATAAAGATCATTACGTCAAATTATTGCCWCTAGATTGTTTTCAGTATTTATGCTGACACACAGCTTTAGCAAGTTCGTTCTCTCATAAATCATTCCAATCTAATGTGTTGTTGCAAAAACACACAAAAAACAAGTAAAGAAAAAGTTAGATTTATTTCGTATCAGCATTAAAAAAAGATCATGCAAGCTAACTTTAACCACAAATATTTAGAATATAGTTTTTTATAGCAACATGGTCAAATGCATGCATTTAGGAAGGAAAGCTAGCTTGCAAATTAAAAATGAAAAAACATTTTTTCTGAATATGCTGACTCAGAAAACAGTGCAAATTAAAAACACACTTCGTGTTCACCCACTGTGACAAAAGGTGGCCAYGCTTTTAGAAAATGGTACACAGCGATGCAGGAAGCAAAAGGTTACCAAGGAAATAAATTTACTGAACAGGGGGAGGTTGAAAGAAATGAAACATAACAACCGGTACTTACTTGTAGCCACTTTATTGCTTTTTGACACCTTTTTACTTAGCAGCACAAGACAAAGTTCTAAAAGGAATATGAGTGTGTGTGTAAAATGCAATACTGTATAAAAGGGCAGATCTAAACCACTCCTATTTGTTCAGGAACTGTTGAGYTCATAAAAAGGCAAAAGGGAATATCATTGCCTTATAAAATAAATAAGGGGAATAGTGAGGTAAAATCAATCGGTTTATTCATTTTCCAGCAACTAAAAGTAATGCAAAATGTTTAAAATGTGTGCAACAACATTGTGATACACATTACTTTGGAGACCTTGAACATTGTATTATATATACAGAAATTTAAGTTGGCACTAGCAGCTTCTTTTATTTTATCCCAAAGACAAACTAAAGTTTTAGTACTGATGTACAAGATTAATAACACTTTTTATTAGAACTGAAAACAATTACAGGGAGTGTTTCGGTTCGGCAAAAAAACAGCTCATGTAGTCAAATACAATATCTCTGAACTGATTAAAAACTGCAGTGCTGACTAACCCAGCTATCAGCATAAGATAATAAAAACATGGGGGGTGGGGGTATGAGTGTGTGTTGGAGAGACAGAAGCAAACATAAGTGGAGCAGAAAATTGTCAGAAGGCATGTGTGGGAAATATCACACACAGATCGAGTTGAAAAGATAGGGATGAGGGTGATGAATAAAAGACATGCCCGGATGACGTTTTATTTTTATGAAGCAAAACAAGGGGGGATGGGGGGTGTGTGAGGGAAGGGCAGACAGTTGCAAATAGAGTTGTACATTCCCCCTGAGACTTACTGGCATGAGACTGATTTCACTTTGTTTAAAGCAGGCGAACACACAGAAATCAAACCATAAGGATGGCGCACTCAGACCAGCAGATGTGCACAAACAATCAGCTGAATGCCACTGAGACAGAGACCCCAATAAACTCCTGTGAAACCCTTTCCTCCATACGTCACAGTTTRCTTAAGGAATAAGCTCTCAGAAGATTAATATTTAAACTTCAAAGCGCTCAGCTGAAGACTTTAAAATCTGGAGTGCTTTCAACACACAGATGACATTTGAAGTTAATACTGTAGATAATGTCTGACACACATCRGTGTGCTATACTCCAAATCTGTATGGGTAAACATGATGAGCAGTTACACAGTCATGGAAAAAAGCACTTTGCTCTGATTTTTTTTTTGGATGTAACAAGTCCTGATTACTAAAAGTCTGCACCAGCATGTAGTTCATAGTCCAGTTAAAGTAG